GAGCATGGATGCCTGCGATTTACTACGCAAGGGTGAACGGGTTGCACTTCTCGCAGCGCCGAGACCGTAGCAGGAGTAACTAGGTCAATATACCTGTGTAAAAACAAAGTGAGGTTATGATTTTACAAAAAAAAATCGAACTATACTTTTCCGCACCACCCACCAACCCCCTCCCATCCTCGTACTCAAGTACCGGATGCCTATAGTTTTATGGTATGCTACGTTAGCACGGACACTGATAATAATAAATAAACTATGAGTAGTCCGCCGGGTCTGGTCAATTCTTGAATTTTCTTATTTTTTCTTACACTTTACCAGCAACTAATTTTGACCATATTTTTTATTATTCAACTTAATTAGCGTCGAATTCTTTTACTTTACTGCTATTTTGATATAAAGATAGCAGTAACTTGTTTTTAATAAATCGGTTTGCGCTATGAAATCGGGTTTTCAGCAACTGTATGTACAATGAATAAAATGTAGCTTCAAATTCCCGCGCAATTTTACTAAATCTAAGGAATTTCATGTTTGAGAAAGTGACTGACCGTTGGCGGATATTATCTAAAATTTTCTCAATGACTTGTGATATAAAAGCAGCATACAAAATACGAACTAAATGGCAAACATTCTAGGCCTTGATGCTTCTTTGTGTGCAGCTCTAGTGATCGTAAGAGCGACTGCTGCTGATTAATGAGGTCCCACGTCTGATCAAAATCTGTAATTGACTTTTTCTGCGAAAATCCGTAGCAGCTCGGAGTCAGGAAATTGACGGAGTTTCAGCCCGTGCCTCAGAAATCATGTAAAGACGTTAGTCCTGCACGTGACCGACAATAGAAATGAATTAACGCTCGATTACTTCCAAAACCGATGTCGCCACATCTTACCGTATTATAAACATACGCAATGCATAATGATATCTAATGTTTCACATTACATTGCTTGGCGAGATTGTCAACGTCGCGTGTGTCACGTATTACGGTAGAACAAAAGCAGCAATGGTAATTGCACATTACGTAAAGTAATAAATGAGTTTGCAAAGGTAAAAACCATAGTAAAGTATTTATCTAGATGTAAATTAATTTGATCATCATCATCATTACAGCCCTTCACAAGTCCACTGCTGAACGTAGGCCTCCCCCAAGTTACGCCACAAAGCACGGTCCTGAGCCACCTGCATCCATCGACTTCCTGCATGTCTTATCAGATCGTCACTCCATCTAGTGGGGGGTCGCCCTACACTACGCCTACCGGTACGAGGCTGCCACTCGAGAACCTTTTTCTCCCATCGGTTATCGGTTCTTCGAGCTATATGGCCGGCCCATTGCTACTTCAGCTTACTAATCCGTTGGGCTATATCGGTCACTCTGGGTTTACTGCGGATATCCTCATTTCTGAGTCTATCACGCAGAGAAACTCCGAGCATAGCCCTCTCCATAGCTCGCTGAGCGACCTTGAGCGTCCTCATACGGCCAGCAGTGAAGGACCACGTCTCAGATCCGTAAGTCATCACTGGCAAAACGCACTGGTTGTACACTTTAGTTTTCAGAGATTGAGGTATACCTGATGAGAAGATGTGTCGTAATTTCCCGAACGCTGCCTAGCCGAGTTGAATCCATCGATTGACCTCTCGGTCGAAGTTGGACTTACCTAGTCGGACTATTTGTCCCAGGTAAACGTACTCGTCAACAACTTCGAGCATAGTGCTCCCAACAACTACCGGCATAGGTGTAACATGGACATTAAACATGATCTTTGTTTTGTCCATGTTCATCTTAAGACCTATCCGTTGGGAGACACTATTGAGGTCATTGAGCATAGTGCAAAGGTCCTCCAGCGATTCTGCCATAAGGACTATATCGTCGGCAAATCGAAGGTGAGTGATGTACTCGCCATTGATGTTAATACCGTATCCTTTCCAATCCAGTAGCTTGAAAACGTCTTCCAACGCAGCGGTGAAGAGTTTCGAGGATATAACGTCACCCTGTCTTACACCTCTCTGCAGTTGGATAGGTTTCGAACTCTGGTTCTGTACTCGGATAGCCATCGTAGCCCTACTATACAAACACTTCAGCACTTCGATATACCGACTGTCAACTTGGCACCGCTGAAGGGACTGTAGCACCGCCCAAATTTCGACGGAATCAAAGGCTTTCTCATAGTCCACATACGCCAGGCAAAGTGGCAGATTGTACTCTACGGTCTTCTGTACAATCTGCCGCAGGGTATGTATGTGGTCTATGGTACTGAAGCCTTTTCGGAAACCGGCTTGTTCGGGAGGCTGGAAGTCGTCGAGTCTGCGTGCGAGACGATTCGTAATGACTCTCGAAAACAGCACGTAGACGCGGATCAGAAGGGAAATCGGTCTGTAGTTCTTCAAGAGAGCGTTGTCGCCTTTCTTAAAGAATAAGACCACCGCACTTCTGCTCCACGCCTCCCGAGTAGTGCCACCATGGAGGACGGAATTGAAGAGCTTCTGAAGGACTTCAAGTACCGGTGTTCCACTCGCTTTCAGAAGCTCCGCTGTAATTCCATCCTCGTCTGGGGCCCTGCCCTTTTTAAGGCGCTGGAGAGCCATTCTAATCTCGCTCAGACTGACGTCCGGGATATCATCGGAATAATGTCGGGTAAGACTTGCTTTTGGATCGTTAATCACACTTGCGTGTGGCTCCAACGATGATGTGTACAGCTGCCCATAGAACCTCTCAATCTCCCTCAAAATCTCAGGTGTCCCGGAAACGATGCTGCCACACTCAGTCTTCAGCTTTGACAGTTGGCTCTTTCTGGCAGACAGATCTCTGGCAAAGACTTTGGAGCCCTGGTTTCGCTCGATCGCTTCTTTAATACGAGCAGTATTAAAGTTGCGTAAGTCTCGCCGCATGCATTTGGAGATCTGTCTGTTCAGTTGCCTGTATGCTGTCAAATCTGTTGACGATTGCAGCCTCATCTCCCGTCTAACAGCCATGAGATTAAGAGTGTGATCGGAGAGTTTTTGTGTTCTTCTGCGGCGGGTCTTGCAGAACTTAGCTCCGACCACATGGACAGTTTCCACGAGCTTGTCATTCATATCGTCCACTGCATTGCAATCTTCTAGGCACTGAAAGCGGTTACGTAACTCGAGCTGAAAGGTTTCGGGATTCTGGATTAGAGCACGAGGGCGACGGAGCGTTGACTTCATTAGACGAGACCTCTCCAACTTAACGTTTAGGTTCAGTGTGCCTCTAACCATTCGGTGATCGCTGCCAGTTTTCACCCTTGCGCTCACTGAGACATCACTGAACAGTTGGCGTCTGGTCGTCATAATGAAGTCAATCTAATTTTTTGTCGAACCGTCGGGGCTCGACCAGGTCCACTTCTTGTGGGGCCGCTTCTGGAAGAAAGAGTTCATCATAAAGAGTCCCTCTTTCTCCATAAAGTCAGTCAGCTGCTGGCCCCTACGGTTCCGATGCCCTAGCTTCCCTAACTTCAGCTCACCGCCTTCTCTTGTGCCTAGTTTTGCGTTGAAGTCTCCCATCAACACCGTGTAGTGGGTTTTGGAGGAAAGCATGGCTCTAGAAATATCCTCATACATTTCCTCCACCTCCTCATCGGGATGTGCCGAGGTTGGTGCGTAGACCTGTATGACCTTCAGCGAATACCGTTTGGTGATTCTGAGTATCAGGTACGCGACCCTCGTCGACACACTCTCAATCTTTACAACGTTGTTGACGAGAGACTTGTGGACGATAAATACCACACCTCCTTGGGACAGATGGTCGCCCTCCCGGTGATAGAACAAGTTGCCGGACTCGAGGATTACCGTGTCCTTCCCCTCTCTTCGGACCTCAGATAATCAAATAATATGCCAGCGCAACTTGTCTACCTCTTCTTCCAGCTTCAGTATCTTCTCGTCAGTCCTCAGGGTGCGTGCGTTATACGTTGCCAGATCGAGTCGTCGTAGGTGGCAACCAAACCTCCATCGGAGATTCTTAGCACCCCCTGCCCCGCCGTTACCATGGTCGCCACCGTAGCCAGGAATAGCGGGGCCGCCGGGGACTGGGGGCCGTTTGTTTGCGTCGGTGCTCATGCCATAGTTGCCACGCTTGGCAAGCGGGTTGGCAACCGCAGTTTTTTTTATGTTATTGTTGTTAGGAAGATGCTGCTGCCCATCTCCTTTCTGTGTCCCTCTGTCGCCTCTTACGACACCCACGGGAAGATATGGTGTAGTGGATATTCTCAACCGCCACTACACGGCGGTTGATGATATCCACTACCAATATTAAAACAATGATAATTAGTAAATAATCGACTTACTGATGAAATGTTATGCTTTTATTAGTTTAATTACACGTCCTTGATGAGTTTTTACAACTGATTATGCTGCACTGCACCATCATAAATTTATAATAACAAAAATTCACATTTCACAAAATGGTGAATTATGTTCGTCAACCCATATAAGCGGCGACGAGGTCACGCGTCTATACGACTTCTATTGTCTTATTATTACGATTTCTGTTGTCCCATCTGAATTTGAGAGTGAGGGGATAAAGAGTGCACGTGTAGGCACTATATTCCTGTCCTGCGCAGATGACTGGTTCACGTTGAGACTGACCGCCGTGACCGGAAAGCTCTAAAGGATTATTATTTATTGTCATCATTATTATAAGATACTCTGAAAGCTTCACTGAGACATTCAACACAAAACATTTACAATATTTTATATATAATTTTACAAATTGTTTTTATAATATTTCCTGAGCGGCCAATTACTTCTGTTTTTACCTTTAAGTTGATTATGTATCACATTATCATCATCATATAATGAACATCTTTTATTTCATCTGTCTATAGTTTCTTGAGAACTAGGTTCAAGAAATGAAACAATGGATAGATCTATCTGAACGAATTTCCTAATTTTACTGGCGACTTAAAAACACATAGAACGAAACTGAATAAATGAAAACATCAACGTGACATTTATTCTGCTCGTATTTTTGTGTTAACCAAAAGTGTCAGACAAAATGTTACTCAAGTTTACATTAATAACTGTACTTACGTACACTGCCTTCGCGACTAATGAATTAGAAAGCTTGCACGGGATCAACGCAGGTAACAGAGTAACTCTATGCATGAATCCGGGCAACGAAAAGGACGAGTGCGAGGGTGTTATGTGGCAAAGGAACTGGGTCCTGGTAAAAGGCAGCTGCGTGGCCGATAAGGCATTGTATCCTGTCATAGTTCTCCCGGCCAGGTCTGCGGCTTGTGAAAGTATTGTAACAGGTTGGTATATTTTTTATTCTAAGATAGGAAGTTTCCAGTAACGCTTACTTTATTCATCAAGATAAACTTATTTAAATTATTTCTCAAAAATATTTGAATTCGAAGTTGTGCCAATTGACACAAACTAAGTATAATTAAATGTCTGTTTGAAATTCGTAATATAAGAGAAATGAGTGTTTTTTTTTGTTTACTGTTGGTTGGGTCGAAGGGATTTTTGCAATCATGCGGATTGTTTATTTGACAATAACAACATATAAAATATGCTCATCCTTATTATGTCGTTTGTTGTCCCTATAAAATAATTGAATGTCTTAGGCCGATAAACCTGTGGATAAATTGAAGAATGAGTCCTACCCACAAACAGCTTCTTATAGTTTTTTTTTATAGTTATTGAGGTGTGGATCGGTATATTCAATAACAGTTTGCTTAGATACATTTATAATTATGCTTATTATCGCTTCCAATTTTTGATGCAGATTTCTATGCGCAAGTGGAGAAGAAATACTTAAAGGTTATTTAGCATAAATTATAGATACATAAATAATTTTGACGAAAGTGGTTTGAATGCTGCAGCTATATTATGATTGCAGCAGGAAAGGATCTGCTCTACCGAGTGAGGACCACGCTCTCTATACTAGCGTAAAATAGCAGCCTAAAGCTGCTGTATTGCGTACGATAAACGATGCATTCGATCTTAGTTCTCAGGGGTGACAAGCATCTACATTTTGATTCTTAATCGAAAATAAACGTATCTCTTTATTAAATCTCTCTCTGAATCAAAGTATCTACTTGCCATCAGGTAGACTGTGGGTTTGTCTCCTTACTCTATAAAAAATAACGTATCACAAAATTGGAAATCAGCCAGTATTTGGGTATAATATTTCTATAATGTGCTTTTTATAATTTCTAGATAAAGATGTGTCTGGATTTCGGAGAGTACGTGCTCGCTTCATGCACCCCCTCTACCCGGCGACTGACATTGCCCTACTAAATCTTGACCGACCTTACGATGTACCGGAGCCACCACGTAACGATAGCAGCGCGATAATCTATAAGTTCGTATTGCTACTATTATTACTGTCACTTTCAAGGAAACTTTTCAAGTTAATGACGGATTTTTTCAACTTATGGGGAAGAGCCTTGCTGTAGCTACTTTATAGCACGTAGGGGTCGGAGAAATGCGGAAGGTAAAATAGCAAAATACTGCTGTATATCGTACGGTGCGTGTAGAGAACCAGAGGCCGTTTTTAATGAAAAAAAAAAACATCTTGGTTCTCAAGGGTGACAAGCCCTTCTTCATTTTGATTCTTGATCAAAGATGGATGTGGAGGTCTATGGGTCACAGCATCCACTTAACATCGGGGGGACTAAACATTCCACTCTATGTTTTGTTAACATTGTTTTCATCTATGCTGATCGTTTGTCAAACCTATTCTATTCTATTTGACTACTTCATGTAAAAAATTTACAGTTGAAAGGTGAACATATGTTAACACGCGTAAGAAATTTTGTATCTCATTGGTTAGGGATTGTAAACGCGACTGTTGATCATGAGGTCCAGGCTTCAAATCCCAAATCGGACCAAAAAAATTTATTATTAAGTTTTCCTGTCAAGAATTTCTCGGAAAGGTCAGGAAATAGACAGTGCCTAACCCCCGTGCCTCGCTGCACGTAAAGCCGTTGGTCTTGCGCCAGATCTGTCTCCCGTTGTATTGGTTTACCGTCCCATCAGACTACGAGTGTAAAGGAATAGAGTATGCACCAGTGACTGTGATTGTGCTGTATAAATTAACATACAGACAAATTGAGAACCTCCTTCTTTTTAGGTTGGCTGCAATTAATCTGCTTCAGTGTGATGAGGACTCAAAAGAATCCATCACCCGCTTTTACCCCGTGGACGTTGTTACAGGCAACTATGGGAAATACCAGAAGTATCTTATGGCTTTCTTATTATTCTTATGCTGATATTGGCGGTATCACCATCTCGTTTAAGCCAGGTTTAGAATACTCAGACTAAGGTATATGATGATTGAGATACATCCTCCCTACAATAAGGAGAGGCTCATCTCTCGCATTGGACTTTAAGCAGGCTGATAAAGTAAAGGATCTATCTCTATACAAACTAGACTTCACTAAAATTTTCCACATTTACCAAAATGCATGCCCGCTTCTATATTAATTTTAGTTTGTAAATGGGTCGGCATATACAGAGGAAAGTCCACAATTTCACAAAGCACTAGTTTAAAATAAACACTGTACTGTTTCATAAGATGAGTAATAAACTAGAAACATATGTGGTAGAGCTACATTGCAGCTATATAATGATTTTTGCACAAATGGTTCGGCTCGACCGGGAAAGGACCACACTCTCATAGAATATCAGTAAAATAGCAGCTTAATACTGCTGTTTTTTGTATGGTGAGTGTATAGAACCAGTGACCCTTTTTACTGGAAACGAAACATTCCATCTTAGCTGATTAGTGACCGCCAATACGGTTTTCGCCGTGGTAGGTCAGCTGGTGATCTTCTGGTCTACCTAACTCACAGATGGGCGGAGGCAGTAGAGTCCAAGGGGGAGGCATTGGCCGTTAGTTTGGACATTGCGAAGGCCTTCGATCGGGTTTGGCACAAAGCGCTTCTTTCGAAGCTCCCTTCCTATGGGCTTCCCGAGAAATTGTGCGATTGGATCACCAGTTCTCTTGCGGATCGGAGCATCAAGGTCGTTGTAGACGGTGCAAGCTCCGATTGCAAGCTTATTAATGCTGGTGTTCCACAGGTCTGCGTGCTATGGCCAACGCTGTTTCTTCTGCATATCAATGATATGTTGCAAACCCGTAGCATTCATTGCTATGCAGATGATAGCACTGGTGATGCTCTTTACACCGGCCGAGCCAATATTTCTCGGGAAAACGTCTCTGAGTGCCGGGACAAACTTGTGTCTGAAGTCGAGTCTCTGCTGGACAGAGTCTCGGATTGGGGGCGACTAAATCTAGTCCATTTTAACCCCCAGAAGACACAAGTTTGCGCGTTAACCGCTAAAAAGAACCCCTTTGTCGTATCCCCTCAGTTTCAAGGCACTCCCCTTGTTGCCTCAGCCAGTATCGGAATCCTCGGCGTCGACGTATCGAGTGACGTGCAGTTTCGTGGTCACTTGGAAGGGAAGGCCAAATTGGCCTCTAAAAAGCTTGGCGTGCTCAGCAGAGCGGGACAGTATTTCATGCCGGCACACCGCCTGCAACTTTACAAGGCGCAGGTTCGGCCGCTCATGGAATACTGTTCCCATCTCTGGGCTGGGGCTCCCCAGTACCAGCTCCTTCCACTTGACCGCATCCAGCGCAGAGCGGCTCGAATCGTCGACGACCGAGTGCTTTCCGATCGGCTCGATTCACTGGCGCTGCGAAGAGATGTTGCATCTCTTTGCGTATTTTATCGCATCTATCACGGGGAGTGCTCTGAGGAATTGTTCGGATTAATCCCAGCCGCCAAATTTCGTGAACGCACTACACGGCAAACGTCCCGATACCATCCACACCATCTGGATGCTTGGCGGTCCACCACTGTACGTTTCAAAAGGAGTTTTCTTCCGCGTACAACCTCTGTGTGGAATAATTTACCACCGGTGATTTTTCCGGACCGATACGACCTGGGGACCTTCTGGAAAAGAGCTTACTCCTTTCTAAAGGGCCGGCAACGCACCTGCAATTCCCCTGGTGTTGCGGTTGATCATGGGCGGCGGTAGTCACTTAACATCAGGTGAGCCACATGCTCGTTTGCCCCCTCTTCTATAAAAAAAAATCTTACTCCTCACGGGTGACAAAGCATCTGCATTTTGATTCATAATTGAGGATAAATGTAGATGTCTATGGGCCACAGCCTCCACTTACCATTAGGTGAACTGTGTGCTCAGTCATCCTTATCCTATAAAAAAATACATAACAGTCTTTATATGGTAACGACCTGCATGATATCGTTGTTCCAGGAGTATGTGTACTGGCCTTCCTTGCCGCCCTTCTCTAGGTTAAGGAACAGGTTGGGCTCGTCGCCGCCGTTCAGCGGGACCAAAGTGCCCTGCTTCCTCAGGAACTCTAGAGTACCAGCACAAGCTTTTTTACTAGAAAAGAGGCATTCCATCTTAGTCCTCAAAGATGATAATGCATCTGCATTTTGTGTCTTAATCGAGAATAAATATAGATGTCTATGCACCACAGCATCCAATTACCATCAGTTGGGCTGTGTGCTAGTTTGTCACCCTTATTCTATTTTAAAAAAACTCATAAGTGACTATATATTATTATTTGCATTGAGGGTGGGTGTGTTTGTCATAAGGCAACGGAGACTACCAGGTATAAAATGCAGCTGTCATTTATTTACTAAAACAGATTTTAACCTGAAATCAAATAATAGATTTTTGGTCTGAATATCTTGTGGGAGTGAAAATATGAGTTCTACATACTATGCGTTGAAATTAACTTGAGACCAGGCTCTGATGATACTTGCAAAAGCAATGAGGGTGTGAGTGGCACGCAGTGCAAGGTATGTGTATGAGAGGTGTAGTACATTTCAAACCTGTGTCAGTAAATTTATATGCATAGTATTTGTGTGATACTTACATTATATCGGTGAAAAACTGAACATATTGTAAGGAATTCATTTTATGAAAACTTAACATATTTAAGATTATTTATAATTGCAAAGAAGTTATATATAACACTTTTTTTTACAACAGGTTGGACCCTTGGCTAACAGATACTTGTAATCAATATTCCTTGCCGACCCCCAATACCCGGCTCAATGCATATAATTCAAAAAGGATTGAAATTTTCTCCTCTCCAATACGAATGTTTATGACAACTGTGGTCTTACCATTAACTTCTTTCATAGTATTCTTTATGTTCATCACATTCTTTACAGGCTCTAGTAAAAATTCAGTCCCATATAAAAGTCTTCATAATAAGGAAGAATCTAATTTTGCGTAAAAAATAAAGGAACAAATATCTAATTAATTGTTTTTATTTACATTTGCTTAAACCAATTTTTAAATCTATTTTAGTGATATTAGAAAAAAATTCTGAAATTATTTCGTTGTTAAAATTAAAAAATGAAGTTATAACAGAACTTTTATAAATACAGACAACTACTAAACAAGACTACTAAACAAGACTACTAAACAACAGCAGAAAAGAATAATGCACACAATTTCATAAATTTTTAATACTATTTATAATTATTCTGTCTTCTCGCCTAACTTCCTCTTCCATACTTTAACTTTGCCTCGAAGTTCACGCAGTCTCTTCATCTCCTCCTTAAAATCTTGATGCTCGTCTCTAAATAGGCCATATTCGCGCAGTTTTAACATTAATTTATGAGTTTCTACATGACGTGGGTAATAATGGATAATTTCTTCGTTTGTGTGAAGAGGCCGCGCTGAAAAAATTTTTACTACTTTCATAGACTTTGAGTTGGTGGGAATAGCAACCTCACCAAATATCCTATTCGACAAGTGCTTCATCCGCCGCGCGTAGTTAGTGGATGCATTAATTAATTGAGCGTATTTAGTATAATTCGTTGCCATTGTATAATATTTATAAAACGGCTACTAGTTCTCAATATTACATTTAATTAAAGCTAACTAAAAGTTTTTGTATGATAAAGAATAACATTTAATAATTACATAAACCATATCAATTATTCTACTTTCTAACCTCAATTGTAAACTTGGCAGTTGACAGTTGACACTGACAATGACAGTATGACATATGACAGTAGGCATGGCGGTCTGAGATCGATTAATCGAAGAATCGATCTCTTATGCCACAAAGATCGATTTTTAAACCGATATACACACTGACTTCTGTATATACAAGTACGCTGGACTGGCTATACACCGTGACATGATGAGACAATTTGATTTGCGCCATTTTAGCGCTGACAGCAGCTGAAGTCCACGGAACTAGTAATAGAGATAAGACAGTGAGACAAAATATATCGATAAAAATTCTATACCCTACCTAAATAAATAGAATAGGCTATGGATAGATGGTCTCTACCTGTAACGTCCATTCTCATTATGTATCATATTGATATAAAGCCATTATCATTCATCATCATTAAAGCCCTTCACAAGTCCCCTGCTTAAAATAAGCCTCCCACAAGGAATGCTACAAAGCACGGTCCTGAGCCGTCCGCATCCATCTAGTGGGGGACGTCCTACACTTGATCTGCTGGTACGAAGCTGCCACTCGATCACCTTTCTTCCCCATCGATTATCGGTTCTACGAGATATATGGCTGGTCCATTGCCACTTCAGCTTACTAATCAGTTGGGCGATGTCAGTCACTCTAGTTTTACTGTCGATATCCTCATTCTTAAGTTTATCGCGCGGAAAACCCCTGTTGTATGTATATCATTTTAATTTAATTTTTAATTTTAGACGACAAGTTTTACTGTGAATGAAAAAAAAATTTACTAACTATTTTTTTCATACCTACAAATATGGTAAAGAACCTTGCCTTGGCCTAATGATAAATAACCATACAGAAAAGAGATGGCGCAGAAAGCATTTATTTAATTTAAATCTATATTATACAATAATTGAAATTATATAAAATGCCGTGTAGTGGCGGTTGAGAATATCCACTACCCCATATCTTCCCGTGAGTGTCGTAAGAGGCGACAGAGGGAGACAGGCAGAAGATGGGCAGCAGCATCTTTCTGATAACAACTGTGTTATAATAAAAAACTGCGGTTGCCAACCCGCTCGCCAAGCGTGGCAACTATGGCAAATATTCCCCGATGAATAACGATGCAAAAAACGGCCCTCAGTCTCCGGCGGCCCTGCTATTATTGGCTACGGTGGCGACCATGATAACGGCGGGGCAGGGGGTGCTAAGAATCTCCGGTGGAGGTTCGGTTGCCACCTACGACGACCTGGCAACATATAACGCACGCACTCTGAGGACTGACAAGAAGATACTGGAGCTGGAAGAAAAGGTAGACAAGTTGCGCTGGCATATTATTGGATTATCCGAGGTCCGAAGAGAGGGGGAAGGACACGGTAATCCTCGAGTCCGGCAACTTGTTCTATCACCGGGAGGGCGACCATCTGTCCCAAGGAGGTGTCGGATTGATCGTCCACAAGTCTCTCGTCAACAACGTTGTAAAGATTGGGAGTGTGTCGACGAGGGTCGCGTACCTGATACTCAGAATCACCAAACGGTATTCGCTGAAGGTCATACAGGTTTACGCACCAACCTCGGCACATCCCGATGAGGAGGTGGAGGAAATGTATGAGGATATTTCCAGAGCCATGCATTCCTCCAAAACCCACTACACGGTGTTGATGGGAGACTTCAACGCAAAACTAGGCACAAGAGAAAGCGGTGAGCTGAAGGTGGGGAAATTTGGAGTAGGGCAACGGAACCGAAGGGGCCAGCAGCTGGCCGACTTTATGGAGAAAGAGGGACTCTTTATGATGAACTCTTTCTTCCAGAAGCGGCCCCACAGGAAGTGGACCTGGTCGAGCCCCGACGGTTCGACAAAAAATGAGATTGACTTCATTATGACTACCAGACGCCAACTGTTCAGTGATGTCTCAGTGATCGCAAGGGTGAAAACTGGCAGCGATCACCGAATGGTTAGAGGCACACTGAACCTAAATGTTAAGTTGGAGAGGTCTCGTCTAATGAAGTCAACGCTCCGTCCCCCTCGTGCTCTAATCCAGAATCCCGAAACCTTTCAGCTCGAGTTACAAAACCGCTTTCAGTGCCTAGAGGATTGCAATGCAGTGGACGATATGAATGACAAGCTCGTGGAAACTGTCCATGCGGTCGGAGCTAAGTTCTGCAAGACCCGCCGCAGAAGAACACAAAAACTCTCCGATCACACTCTTAATCTCAAGGCTGTTAGACGGGAGATGAGGCTGCAATCGTCACCAGATTTGACAGCATACAGGCAACTGAACAGACAGATCTCCAAATGCATGCGGCGAGACTTACGCTACTTTAATACTGCTCGTATTAAAGAAGCGATCGAGCGTAACCAGGGCTCCAAAGCCTTTGCCAGAGATCTGTCTGCCAGAAAGAGCCAACTGTGAAGGCTGAAGACTGAGTGTGGCAACATCGTTTCCGGGACACCTGAGATTCTGAGTGAGATTGAGAGGTTCTATGGGCAGCTGTACACATCATCGTTGGAGCCACACGCAAGTATGATACGATCCAAGAGGAAGCTTATCCGACACTATTCCGATGTTATCCCGGACGTCAGTCTGAGCAAGATTAGAATGGCTCTCCACCACCTTAAAAACGGCAAGGCCCCGGGCGAGGATGGAATTACAGCGAAGCTTCTGAAATCGGGTGGAACACCGGTACTTGAAGTCCTTCAGAAGCTCTTCAATTCCGTCCTCCATGGTGGCACTACTCCGGAGGCGTGGAGCAGAAGCGCGGTGGTCTTGTTTTTTAAGAAAGGCGACAACGCTCTCTTGAAGAACTACAGACCGATTTCCCTTCTGAGCCGCGTCTACGTGTGTTTTCGAGAGTCATTACGAATCGTCTCGCACGCAGACTCGACGACTTCCAGCCTCCCGAACAAGCCGGTTTCCGAAAAGGCTTCAGTACCATAGACCACATACATACCCTGCGGCAGATTGTACAGAAGACCGTAGAGTACAATCTGCCACTTTGCCTGGCGTATGTGGACTATGAGAAATCCTTTGATTCCGTCGAAATTTGGGCGGTGCTACAGTCCCTTCAGCGGTGCCAAGTTGACAGTCGGTATATCGAAGTGCTGAAGTGTTTGTATAGTACGCTACGATGGCTATCCAAGTACAGAACCAGAGTTCGAAACCTATCCAACTGCAGAGAGGTGTAAGACAGGGTGACGTTATATCCTCGAAACTCTTCACCGCTGCGTTGGAAGACGTTTTCAAGCTACTGGACTGGAAAGGATACGGCATTAACATCAATGGCGAGTACATCACTCACCTTCGATTTGCCGACGATATAGTCCTTATGGCAGAATCGCTGGAGGACCTTTGCACTATGCTCAATGACCTCAATAGTGTCTCCCAACGGATAGGTCTTAAGATGAACATGGACAAAACAAAGATCATGTTTAATGTCCATGTCACACCTATGCCGGTAGTTGTTGGGAGCACTATGCTCGAAGTTGTAGACGAGTACGTTTACCTGGGACAAATAGTCCGACTAGGTAAGTCCAACTTCGACCGAGAGGTCAATCGACGGATTCAACTCGGCTGGGCAGCGTTCGGGAAATTACGACACATCTTCTCGTCAGGTATACCTCAATCTCTGAAAACTAAAGTGTATAACCAGTGCGTGTTGCCAGTGATGACTTACGGATCTGAGACGTGGTCCTTAACCGCTGGCCGTATGAGGACGCTCAAGGTCGCTCACCGAGCTATGGAGAGGGCAATGCTCGGAGTTTCACTGCGTGATAGACTCAGAAATGAGGATATCCGCAGTAAAACCAGAGTGACCGACATAGCCCAACGGATTAGTAAGCTGAAGTGGCCATGGGCCGGCCATATAGCTCGAAGAACCGATAACCGATGGGGAAGAAAGGTTCTCGAGTGGCAGCCTCGTACCGGTAGTCGTAGTGCAGGACGACCCCCCACTAGATGGAGTGACGACCTGGTAAGACATGCAGGAAGTCGATGGATGCAGGTGGCTCAGGACCGTGCTTTGTGGCATTACTTGGGGGAGGCCTATGTTCAGCAGTGGACTCGTGAAGGGCTGTAATGATGAAAATGATGAACAAAATTTATAAGAAGTCATTTTTTTGGTTTGCCAGACCTTTTTTAAAACTATATTGTCTACCTATCTAAAAGTTACGCACCTCTGCTATTCCTAATAACCTTGCATTGGTTTTGTTTACATTTGGTATCGCTTCTCGTTGGCCGCAGTATATTTACAATTAGTTGAATGTACCCAAACTTCTAAAGAATAACAGTTTTTCCATTTAAAAACACGCATAACTCCTGTGTGCTCAGATTAATTCGTCTCTTCTCAATGGATTAAAGAAATAAAAAATATGTTACGTTAGTTATCTGTACTCTATTGTATCTTTTGATAATGTAAATATAACGATCTTTTAGAGGTCGAGGTTTTTTGAATCGATTTATCAGATTTCGATTTAAATCGATTTAGTAATCGCTCTTTTGTGAAAGAATTTGCAACCCTAGTCGACAGTGTCGGTTACAGCTAACAGTCAGTTTGATAAACAATGCCAATTCTTTTTATTGGTCGTAGAAAGAGAAACGAGGTATTATATCTCTATGACCAAATCTAAGAAATACATTTTGACAACTGTCAGACTTATTGCATCAAGCATGCCAACCAAAAAATGGGAACGTACAATATTCGATTCTTAAAAAAATCGATATCATTTATTTAGAGTTGGTAATCATTTACAGTTTGGTTTGAATAATACCAGAGTAAATTAAAAACGGATAATTTAAAACACAAGATTTACCAGTTTCTTCGTATTTGTTGTTAGTGCTTATTTCTAAAGGCACAGTTATAAAAATGTAAGATTAAAAATAAATTTATTCAATCA